ACAAAAGCTTCAGATTTTTTAAGAATTGTCAATAATAAAAAGACCTGAACTTCTAATATTTCAAACACTCAAATATGCATTAGACTTTCTAATCTTTTAATTTTAATTTTAATTCATTTAATTTATTACTTAAAAATATGCACCACATATGTGACTATTTGTTTCCTTGTTTCAACAGATTTTTGTCGCAGTTTTAACATTAATTCTTCGAGGGAACCACATCCAGCTATGCTCAAGGTTTTCTTCTGGCTTTGAGCTCAGGGATCACTCCTGGAGATGCTTGGGGAACAATATGCAGAGGCCAGGGATCTAAACTAGGTCAATGGGATACCAGGCAAATGCATGACCAGATGTACTAGATCTCCAGCCTGAATATTCTATTAATTTTAAAAGATCCCACAGGTTCAATTAATTCAATTAATGGTCCAATTAATATCTTATATATTATGAATTTCTGTTTATTTATAATATAAATACTATGAATATATAGTATCAAATATCAAAAGGGCATTTAGGATAATTCATAGCTATATTTTACCTAGAAAGTCTGAGTTGGAAACACATTTGTGTATATATATATACATATATATACACATGTATATATATGTACACATATCAAAGATGTCAAATCCACATGCTATGAACACTTCAGGGTCATATAATTTAGAGGAATGAATTTTGAGGGAATTTGGGGCATGTGTGATGGTGTTCAAGAGCTAATCTTGTCTCTGTGGTCAGGAGTGAGCCCTGGCTGTGCTCAGGGGACCATATACAATGCTGGAATAGAACTATTTCAATCTCATGAAAGTCAAGCACCTTACCTCATGTACTACTTCTAGAGGGATACAGATAATAATTTCATTCATGTGCACTTTCTTAACTCAAAAAATGGAATAGTATTCTGATAACTTTCTGGCAAAAAATCTAATGAAGATAAATTTATTTTTAAATAAAAATATTGTTTCTTTAACTTTTAATGAACAGAGATAAGGAATAGTGTAAATATAAATATATATGTGTGTATGTATGTGTATGGTTCTATGTACATACACATACATGTGCACATATACACATACGCACATATATATGCATGTGTGTATAACATACATATGTATGCATAACATACATATGTTTGTTAATGTTGTTTTGGATCATACCTTATGCACTGTGCTTAAATATCAGGCTTGGTGGGCTTGCGGGACCATATGGGTTGCAGGGGATGAAACTCAGGTCAGCTACGTGAAAGGCAAGTAAACTTACTCACTGTACTATCTCTACATCCCCTGGGAAATTAGGTTAATAGTTGTTTTTTTAAATGTAATTCAGTATCATTTTTCATAGAAATTTGTTTTGATTAAATGTCTTTATAAAGAAATGGATTTATTACTTTTATTTCTGGTGACATATTTCATAATTGAAAAATGAATTTCCAAAGGAGTGAGGTTGATTTCCTAAAAATTATAGTATAGGTATGTGAACAAATTAAGAACATGGCATCTCTATTTGTAGAGTAATAAAATTGTACTTGAACCTTGAAGGATGAGTCACTAGTGATATGGAAACAGTCTGAAATATGGCTGAAATTAAGAAATGCAAGAGAAAGCTATTTTAGAACTATGGGATTTTCCAAATACAATTATTATGAGTGCTATAAATAAAACCAGTGTCCTTAGTATTAATACAAGAATAATAATAATATTACTTAATAGTATCTTAATATCTTATTTGCCAAGAAATAAGAAATAAGAAATTTCTAAGCATGTGATGTTTATAAAACTGATTTCCCCCTTGATAAATAAAACCAATATTAAAATCTTAACCCAGTTGTGAGGGTATACAATCAGAGATCATAGGAAAAATGCTTCAACTGAAAATGGAGGATATGATAAGCACCCAGGAGTAGCTTTAGTCACTGGGTATAATTGTCAAAACAGGAAGAACATCTGAAATGTTTTCATATATATATATGTATATATATATATATATGTATGTATGCACAGACTTCACCACAAAGCAAGCACCAAGAGTGATGACAATTTGAGATCAATGGCAGTGATGTTAAATTACAATTCCATTTTATAAATGACACACTAGGCATTTTGTAAAGAATGATTTCCTTGTAGAAAATAATACAAAATAAAACTCAGAACCTCAGGGCCTTGCAGAAGTTTCAAAGATTCAGATCAATGAATTTTTAATTATGAATTTCAGAATACTTTCTTTCCACAGATTTATCTAGATATTTCAAAAGAGCAATACATTTATAATTTTCATGTATAAGCATGTATGGTCAACTCAAATCACACATAACTACATAAATGGCCTTCAAATAAAAAAATCATTTTGAGAATGATATCCATGAAGTCAAAATTTCTTATAATTTCTGTCCAATTAACTGTAAATATGTCTGATAAATGATGGAACATTCTTTGAAAATCAGTTTCACAGCAACTAAAAAAAATGATGGTATAGCTATATGGTCAAAATTGGATAACAAGATTTAGATTGAAATTTCTCAATGTAATATTGATTCAACTATGAAAGTTAGTTTTAACTCTAGGTTTCTGTTATCAATACTATCTCCTCTCAAATGCTTAACTTACAAAATATTGTTAGCAGTTTTAACCTGTAGTAAATTTTTAAAATCAAAGTTCAAAGCAATGAAAATATTTTTAATTTTTTTTCTTCACCAGTAATTATCTTAAATATGTTCCTTATGTCTAATGTATGGAGTATCAATTAGAGTTTTTCTGCTTTAATATTTGTTGCTGTTGTTCTACTAAGAATGTGGTGACCAAAATCTGATTTTTCCACGGGCAGTTTACCAGAAACGTTATATTCTGGATACTTAAGCACATTTGTGGCTAAATAGTTTTTTGCATACACATATGCACAATATTCACATTCTGATACATTCACTACTTGCATCCCTTTGAAGAAAGATATAGGGAAGAAGTTTAGGTTCTTGGTATTTCTTAGCGAAGAATACAAATTCCCACCACACTTCCTCTATTTATTTGCTTTAATAAACTCCTTGAATATAACTAAACATTAACTTTCTAGGAAATAAACACTAGAGATGTCTTTCATGATTCAACTCTAGAGGCAGAGACAGCAAAAAACAAAAGCAAAAAAATTGGGACCGTACCAATTATATGTTAGAAACACAGTATTTTTTCCATGGTAGCATTTTAAGTTTAAGAAAAATTAATTTTGTCAATACTAAATCTTGGCGCTCTCTCTCTCTCTCTCTTTCTGTGTGTGTGTGTGTGTGTGTTTGTGTGTGTGTAGGCGCGAATGCGCAAGAGCGCGCTTGCCATCTAGTTCAATATAATCAGGACACTAATCTTTTTTACCCAAGATATGAATTCTTGAAAAATTAAATAATTAATTGATATGAATTCTTGAAAAATTAATTTTGTCAATACTAAATCTTGGCGCTCTCTCTGTTTCTGTGATAATTGAGATCTTAATAAATGGACATTCAGTAGCCATTTTTCTTTTTATATCTCAGTTAAAAAAAATGACAGCAAAAATCAGCATGTAAAATCAGGAATACTGTACTTAGTAATTGCGAGATTTCAATTTTTATTGGGCTTGTCACTGAAACCCCAGGTTCATGTAAACATTTCCTGAGGTGGTGACACATTTTGGAATAATTATGCACCTGATATTAACTTTGAACTTTTTTTCAAATACACACATTTTAAGAAATTAAGAAAATATATGAAAATATATTACAACAATATCAATCTTTATTAATTGTTAGCAAGCAATCAAAGAATATCGGTTGGGGCAGGATGATGATTATGGATATGAACTGAAGACAGATCAGTTCATAAAGGGAACAGCTTTGGTGGATGGACTCAAGTTTGTTCCCTATATTGCATGGTCACCTGAGTACCATTGGATATACTTCTGGGGTCCTTGTAGACAAACACAGCAAGACTGCACTATTGTTCCCCAGCAGAACTTCACTGTGGCCTAGTATTAAATCATATTGGCTAAGTGTCACCAGAACTGGTCCAGAATACTTTGCGGCCTAGAATGATCTTCCACACTGAAATTACTGCTGACTATTCTACCAATTTCATATTTACACATTCATGCAGGCTTATTCAAACTGAATTTTAATAAGCAAAAATTAATTTTCACTAAAGAAGCAACAAGAGAAAATATTTATCAAAGCCATAATTCTCCAAAATACATTTCAGAATAACTTGTTTAGTTTTAATTGCAAATGATAACTCAATGAAGTAGGTTTAGATTCTTACACACTTTATCTGGTGTACTTTATTTTCCCTATGATGGATAATTATTGTGTAATCTCTCTAAAACCATGAATAAAGTACTCCAATATTATGCTCTAGTCTACAATTTCACAGTTATAACTCATATATTTATGGTTTGTTTTTGTAAATAATCAATACCATCTTGCAAACGGTTTTCAACAACGTGTAAATTTTTTACTCAAGGTTGTTAACAATACAGTTACTGACCTAATTCAGGTTTAAAATTATTAAGTAGACCATTTCCTATTACAGGTGGCTCTATTATCCAATGTTACCTGAATCTTCAATGATCGTGAAAATAGAAAATCCAAACTATGTTATGGTCATTAACTGAAGTACTTCCACATATGATATGGTTTTAATTTTCATGGAATAAACAAAAACAGTGACATGTTAAATGTAGAGCAGACTTTGCAAGCATGGAAATTCTTGATCTATATCTTGACCACAATAAAAAGCCTTGGAAGAGAAACATGTGAGCTTGACACAGGAATGATGAATATATTTAGAAAATGATTAATATTTTTAGATTATTCATTATAATATCACTTGTCACATTTCTTCTTTGAGAACCATCTACTCACATGTTAAGGTATAACCTGGGCACTAATGGTTAAAATGTATACAAATACAGAAAGGAAAGAAATGCTGAAGGTGATACAGAAAGGAGGCACATCACATAGGGATAAGGGGGAGGGGAACACTAACCATATTAGGCTTGGATGGGCAACAGCGCACAGGGAAGAAGCCCTCCCACAGCCGCATTCGCAGCAACTGAAAAGCAAACAAGAGAGCCCAAGATAAGGAAGAGATCCCACGCCCTCATTACAGCATAAGACACTATGAAGTTAAGACAGGTGTCTGTTTTGCTTTGCTAAAGCAAATAACCCTGAATTCATACAATTAAGTAGTTTTCAGAGTGCCTCTCAAGTTAAAGTGCCTTATGGGTTTAAGAAATTCAGAGATATATTGAATCGTTTTTTTTAACTTTACTTAAAATGCTTCTTCAGTAGGAAATTTAATGAACCAATGTTTCGATCATACAACTGTACAGAAAACCAATAAAGCTGCAAAACCATTTACGTATATATTTACTTAGAAATTTTTGAAACACTATTACTTAATAGACAATCTCACTAAGTCTTAAAATACATGTTTTTCATTGAACCTTCAAATTTATATGTGCAAAAAAGAAGTGCGTTGTTCATTTGGTACCCTGGTTTATCAAGCCAATGAAATTATTCATAATAGTCTATGTAAAAATATTTTGCTCTATATGGCTTTTCCAATCATATAAAACTAAAATTTAAATTAATATTTTCAGATGATAAAATGCATAAATATATAGAGGACTGTTTATTAAAAAACAAAACTATACAATACATGAAACTTTTTCTGGATATTGCAACATTCAAGAGCCTTTTAAATTTTCCACATATTCATGGAAAACAATCCAGAAATACCAAGTAAATGTACTTTGTTGATAGAAACACATACACTTATGGAAGAATATAATAAAGAAATAACATAAAGCTTCAATAATTTTCCAGTATATTTTTGAATAGAATTTATAAGGATTTTAAGAAAACTGTGGACTGAGTTCAGTAATAATATCATACAGCAGGAGATGTGTGTTTTTTCTGGAATCTGCTTTGGAGTTTATTTACTTGAAATGTAGTGTACTTGCACTGAATAAAGGGAAAATAAAATATGCAATCTGCTAAATTTAGAAATGCCACTGAGGACAAAAAAGTATTTTCAAATAAAATTCTAAAGGGCTTTTAAAGGAAAAATTGTCACTTCCCCATTTGTATTTTTTGGAGCATTGATTAGTGTCAGAGAATTTGACTGTCACAGAAAAGGAATCAATAAAAAAAACTGACTACTATATCTTTCCAGTTTAGTTATTTATGATAATGCATTTATTTTTTAGATCACACTCAGTAGTGCTCAGGAATATGATTAATAATTACTTTCACTTGCTAAGACATTAAAAGTCAAAATTACAATACATCAAAATATTAAAATACTTAGAGTAGGTTAAAAAGTTTACACATAATTTGGTAGACATATTTTTTTATGACTAGAGTCAACTCATGAATGTCTCAAATAGTTACCGAATTCTTAAGTTAACTTATTTTTGTGTCAGCACTAATATTATGAATCAGCATAGTATAGCCTGTAGACCAAATCTAGTCTATAACAGTTTTGTAAAAAGGGTATTATTGTAGCACTATGAATTGCATTTGTCATTTCATTATGATATTCTACTTCCGTTAGAAAGCAGTATACAATATTTTCTATAACGATTCATGAAAAAATATATTGCCTTCTCTATCTTAAATTATAATTTCTTAAAATGAGGATTATTCTTCAATATTTGTATTTCTTTGCAGCTTAAACACAATAAACGGAATTTCTACGTAGAATTTTACTATAATTTATATTTAGTGGCAAAATTTTTCCCTATATAATGATAGGTGTTAGCAAGAATGTTTTCATTATGTAATATTATGTAATATTAATTACAACTTATATTTATTTTTTACAACTTATATTTCAACTCAGTAAATAATAATTTATTAAAATGTATTATATTCTGTGATAAAATAATATTATCTCCTAAGAAAGTGTGAAACATATTTCTATATAAACATGTGTAGTTTATAAAATATATAAAATTGTGCTTCAATGACTGGTTAAAGAATTTTGGTATATCTACACAATGGAATACTATGCAGCTGTTAGAAAAGATGAAATCATGAAAATTGCATACAAGTGGATGGACATGGAGAGCATCATGCTAAGTGAAATGAGTCAGAAAGAGAGGGACAGACATAGAATGACTGCACTCATTTGTGGAATATTAAGTAACATAATAGGAAACTAATACCTAAGGATAGTAGAGATAAGGACCAGGAGGATTGCTCCATGTTTTAGAAGCCGGTCTCATGTGCTGGGGGAAAAGGCAGCTGGGACAGAGGAGTCACTAAGTGAATTATGGTTAAAGGGCTCTCTCATGATGGAAGATGTATGCTGAATGTAGGCTATGGACCAAAAAAGATGGCCTCTTAGTACCTATATTGCAAACCATAACACCCTAGAGAGAGAGTAAGAGGGAATGTGCTTGCCACAGAGGAAGCAGGTGGAAGGGGTGAGGGTGGCGGGAGAAATACTGAAAACATTGGTGGTGGAGAATGGGTACTGGTGAGGGATGGGTACTCAAACACTGTACGACTGAAACGTAATTATGGAAGACTGTAAAAAAAATCTTAAAAGAATTTATAAAAATAAGAAAAATTGTGTTTCAAATCTGTGCTGCTCATTGGAACATTAATAAGATTTGTTTAAAATTAGGTTAGGATGACAAGATTTTTCGCCCCAAAAATGTCCCAAGCCTGACAAATAGTGATTCTAAAGAGTATCATTTACTCAGTCTTTTTAATTTCAAAAACATACACACAGAGATAAACATGCAAAATTTACTATAATGTCACTTCTACAAATTTTAGACACTTGAAAATTAAATTAGCTATAATCTAAATTTCATAGTTTCAATCAAAATTAATAAAAATTTAAATTTCCCAAAATTAAAATCTTATACTTATATTTTGAGTTACTGTTTTAGATGCTATACTGATAAATTTTACTTGTTTTAAAATGGCACTGTAAGTTATGTTGGTTAACTGAATTATACACTATTTGTATTTCGGTTGAAAGCTAAAAGATAATAGAAACAATGAATCTTACATACTTAGTCCTATATTTGTGAAAATAAACTTATAAAGTATCTGTGTATGTATGTATACATGTATGTATATGTAAGCACATAAACTATGCACACAAGTGCGCACACACATATGCATAAATTCTCTTAGATCATTAGTTGGTATATCATTTGCTATTGGGTAAAAGTAGTGAAAATTAAGTGTTGTAATCTCCTAAAGTGATAGAACAGATCCCCATAATCAGAGTATTGATTTTTCATGGTTTACATGATATCCTACATTAAGTATAGGTAATAGTTATAACTAAAAATCTTTCATAATATAACTAAACAACTAACTGTATTAATACCATTTTCAAAGAGAACGGTAATCATTCTTTGAGTAACTTTACAAAATACACTTTTAATTATGTAGTCATCAGAGATAACATTCATAAAATATTAAGAAAATAAAATCTGGTATCATTATTGTGAACATATGAAGTAGAATTGTAAGCGCCCATCTAACTATTTTTAAATAAACTAACTCAGAGGGTGTTTTCAGAGCCAACACCTTGGTCCCAGGTGGTATAAGAAACACACTCTTTCTTTAATCAATAAATACTTGAGGAAGAACAGGCTGAAAACACTTACAAGGCTCAGTGATAATTTAGAAATAGAAACCAAAATGTGCTAGAAATAGCAGCCAATCTAATTTATGGGAGCTACAGTTCAACACAGGGTGTATCTGCATTCCTGTCAGTTATTACCACCTGGATGTCTGTAAGTAACTACATGCAGCTATAACAAGGTGGTGATTATCCAAGTTTAAAATAGTTTAGCCTTTTCAGGCTTAAAATCAAAAACTGTTAGTATCTGTTTTAACAAGATATTAGATTTGTACTTCAGCACATAAAATATAATAATTGAATATTTCCAGACACAAAGAACATTCTACTGAAATCATTGTAGTTAAGGCTTAAGCAGAGATGATTGTGCATATATGAATTGTATGAATTCAAATAAGATTTGACTCCCTCCACTGCATTCAAGTGCTCATACATTTTAAGGAAAATACTTTCAAGCACCATATTAGAGAAGCAGGACTCTAGGTCATGGGTAAATAATGAATTCTTAGCTAAGAAAACATAGAGTGGATAAAGCATCACTCAGTAGAAGTGAGACAGAAGTAGAAAGCATGATTGCACAGAAGAGGTGCTTTAATTAGTTAGAAAATATTTTTCATTTCCTAGTTTAAAAGGAGGCTGCATAATGCACTCATTTTCACTAAAACAACAGGAAATGATAGCACACCTAGCAAGGCATGATCATTGGGTCCACCTTTCTGCATATTATGCAGCAAAACAAGTATAATCACTGTTTGTAATCAAACTATGAACACTTTTGGATATGCCAGTGACTAAATATTGATTCCAGTAAACTCCTCAATGATGCCAATAATATTATAAGAGAAATTATGCCACAGAGCATTATTTTCAAGAATTACTTAGAGCATATATGTAAAGTCTTACATTGCTCTCAGCTCACAAGCCAATACTTACTTTTGAACTGGTAAGCAAAGAACACAGTACTGGCAATATAAAGTTGGTCACAGATTTTAAATAAATTAAATAAATACATACTTATACATTTCTATATGAAATATATTTAGAGGAAATGATACACTAGAAACAGTTTGTATTGTTATTCTTTTAAATTATTTATGTTCAGTGTAAAACATGGTAAAAAGTATGCTGAGTTTGTAAGAGTAATAGAGTAATAGTGTTTGGATCATTTCATTAGCTGCCTTTACGGGATTACTTTAGTTTCCCTAATTTCAATATTTTTGTAGTTATTTTGACTTTATTTTAAATTAGCTAGAGAAGAATGGCATCTTTAAAAGACATGAAGAGATTTACACGTGCAATTCAATCATGAAATTCAAGTTGTAGTTTAGGCAAATTGTAATAGTATGTGGTTATAAGCAGAATATTTTCATCTCTTTTTTTGGTTTGTTTATCTGCTTCCTTCTCACTCTATAGTTTCGTATTCCTCACTAAGTTTATTG